ACTCTTTCGGTAGAAGCAAGGATTTTGACTGTTTTGTCTTCCTTTATACTTTTGTCTTGCAGATGAAAATTTTGTCTGTTTCACCAGGCACGAACCGATGGGTGTCTGTGGAGCTATAACTCCAGTAAGTAGCAGTGATGGTGCCCTGCATCTCCCTTAGAACTGGAAGAAGCATGTTCACTCCCCATCTTACACTGCAGCCATTTGCTTCCTAGTTAAGTACAGCTGTTCTGTAGGGAACTCCCATCTCAGTCGCCTGATGTAGTTTCTTGTTTTACCCCCATGCCAATTGCTCCTGGCAACACAAAGTCCTCTGCGATGAAAGGGTGGGTCTCTAATCAGATGCTCTGTTCCTCTCTAAGGCTGACACCACTCACCAGAGACCCGTCAGAGCTCTCTGACTCTTGCAGTGCTGGGACAACCATCTTGTCGTTACGTGTGCTAGCTTTTTGCTGCTTAGTGCTGATGCATAGTTTTGAGTTTTAAATCATATCCATTATTAATAACCCCCAGCTGTTCTGCTTTCTGTGATTAAATCTCACTGAATAGAGTTTTCTTTGAGGTCTCGTTCTCTGATGAGGGGACAGTGTGGCTAGTTCTTGGAATCCCTCCAGTTTTAGTGTGCGTTGCTTGCTCTGTTTAAACAGACAGCCAGGAAGATTTTACAGCTACATGGGAGACATAGTTTGTTCCTGTCTCGTTGTAAAATGCTTTGAATGTGGTATCCTGCAGGCCATGGGGCAAATGGTGATGTGCCAAGATTCTCTGTTTGGATACTTGGATCAATAAGAGTCCACGGAAGATTTTGACCTTTGGGTTAAGGTTATAGGAGAGACTTTAAAGAAATGCATGTGGGGTATTGGATTTGCTGGACCCTGGCAATACCAGGTCTGAATCAGTTCCCAAAGATATCTGGGGAAATTTAACTTTTTCCTTCAGCTGGACTGAGCTTATATCCCCAGTATGGTCTATTTAGCAATGTTAGGATGAGGCAAAGTGGGAGATGGTCGGTGCCAGTTACCAGACATTTGGCTTGATGACTTCTGCACAGCTTTTCTGGCTGAACAAGCAATGTGACTGCTTGTAAGCAACTAGAATTTGTGACTTAAGATCAAAACATCAGGTTCCTCATGTTGATCACCAGTTAAAAGGTATCTCCTGGTCACACTTCAGCCACCTTTGGCACTCAGCAATGCTTTTGGAAACTATCCCTTTAAAAACCTACACGTAGGATGCTTTGGAGGGCCACTATAAGGGCACATAGTGGGACTTGTAATATTTCAGGTTGACCCTACATCAGCAATAAATACAGAAAGTACAGAACCAAATTTGACTCAAGTTCAACACTGTGTTTGTGAAAAGGGTGATTGGGGTCAACAAAACCACATCTGTCTTTAGTTTACTTAGAACAAATCCCCTTCAATTTTTTTCCAGTTTGATCTCTAACACCAACAAATATACAAACTCTGTGAGTTTGTATATTCCTACTTGATTTAAAGAGATTCTGTCACTATTCTGCATATGTCTTCCTAGACCAGTTAACAATCCTCCCTTTTTCCTGTGGCTTGACTATATTTAGATCAACGTTCTTAGCAAGGGAAGTTCTTAGAAAGTGCAGCATATGACTGAGCTTTATCCCAAGGTGATGTCATGAGGCAGCCCTGGAGTCCTTTACTGTTACTTTCACCAGCCATTCTGCAATGGAAAGCTCCTAATGGAGTTATGTCATCCTCTGAAAGTGTAGAAAAGCAGTGTAGGTGTGGATGGCTCAAGCTGCAAAGTCAGGCCTTCAAGAAGGCTTAGGAGAAAAAGACAAATGGGCAAATCATGGGATGTGGCTATTGGAGAAGATCACTGAAACGAAACAAGTCTGGGAAGGAGGGAGAGGCAAGGTGAAGAACAGCACATTAGACCAAATTCTGCTTTGTCTCAGAGCTTCTGGGTTAGAACGGAACTCATCTCTTAAAAGCTACACTGCTAATTTATTTGTAAGTGTGAATTTGTGGATTCCTAACATATTTGGCTTCTTTGTTGATAGCTGAAGGCCCTTGGCTTGAGTCTTGACAAGAAGTCCCCTTACTGTTGGCCTGCTTCCATCATCCCTAAAGCAGCTTTAATTATTTTTAATGAAGAAATCCTTTCTGCTGCCAAATGATCTTTCTGAGATTCAGTGTGAGCTAGATTTTTCCACTTCTTGCTTAGGCTCCAAGATCTACAAATACACATGACCATGAAGGAGATTAGCACAGAGGAAACTGATGTGGACTGGCTCCTAATTTCAAATAAGAAAACTAATTGGAAAGGAGCAATTTACAATTTGAAGAGAGTATAAGACTTCCCCTGGATTTCCATGGCTGAACAACCCACTGCAGTTTCCTAGTTATAAACCTGGAATTGAATGATATTGTATAACTCCTAACTACTCAACCAATACCTAACACAGAAAAACAAGGTTTTTTCAATCTGCAGTTGCACCTTGTAATTCCCCCACATAAGGACGCTGTACTTAATGTAATGATGATCCTTATATAAGGATGGTGATGCATTGGCTCGCTGCCTCCAACACAATTTCTGTGAACGGCCAAAATCCTATACAAAGTGTGATCAAACTCCTGTAAAGAATGAGGTCACATCATGCAGAGGTTTGTCCAACTTACAGGATTAGCTTGAGGACTGCCAGCAATATTTGGGATCTCAGGGGAAAATCAAGGAAATTATACTCCATAGTCCAAGCAAACGCTAAGCAGCCGCTTCTCTTTGTGGCTGTCCTCCCAGTTGCTTCTTTCTCCCTGAGCTGTGTGAAAGTGGGGAAAATGCCGCATGGAAGTGAGTAGGTGACAGTGCTGGGCTGATCTGACCAGCCTTGTGTTCTTGCAGTGGAACTTCCCGTTGCTAATGCTCATTTGGAAGATGGCACCAGCGCTGTGCTGTGGAAACACTTTGGTTATTAAGCCAGCTGAACAAACTCCTCTCACGTCGCTCTACATTGGCTCGCTGATCAAGGAGGTAAGGAAATCTGAACATCCTGCCTAGGTACTGTTCTTTTAAGGTCATAAGCAAGACTGTATTTCGAATTGGCTGTGTAGGTTTTTAGGTTTTAAAGATGTTAAACCCTCACAGAGGAAAGTGAGAACAACCTCTGTCTTCAGTCTTTTCTTATAAAGGCCTTCATGACTGGCAGTGGCTAGCTGGGAGGTAGCAAAGATCATAAAACCTGTAGGTTTTTCTTCTTTCTCAGGAAGCTTCAGAGAGAAAAAATGGTGCTTTTATTCTTCTGCCTTGTCTTCCCCTCTCCCAAATGAGGGAAAGACTACAGTTCAGTTTTATTAGACAATGGGACAAAAAAGAGTGTGATTAGCAGTGTTGAGTTTGTACCATTTTTAAGTGGGATAATTCAACCAAGACAGAGTGCCATGGGAAACAATTCTTCATAATTTCTGTGGTTTGTAGAACAATTTAGCTATGTCTGGCCTTTAAAGCCAACTCAATACTGACATAAAGGGAAGATCATAGATTGGGATTTCAAAATGTTGGTTTAGGGCTTGTCAGGTAGGATCTCAGGTGCCCTCAGATCTATTAATCATACAGAGGTGGTGGGAGGTCCACAGTACCTTCCAGGACTGGTCAGTCTGTCAGCTTCCTATATCTACGAATGGTGACTAATTGTGAGGAAAACTAAAAGGGTCGTAGATAAGCTTTTGCCTCTCAGCTGGAAAAGTCTGTTTGTTAGTTGTTGTTAGTCTAATGATAATGATGATTTTGTCTGTTCTTGGCTTAGCCTAGGAGAAAATAGAAGGATACCTTGATAATTGACACTTAGGGCTCCTCCATCAGGAAAGGCAGTGCAAAAATACTACCAGCTAAGTATCTCCTGCAGTTAATTGACTTAATAAGATTACACAAAGATGAGTGACCATAGGGTGCAGTTTTCATGACTTCTAGTTAGCCCTGCCACACCACTGCTTTTTTCACTCTGACATACAGCTCCCCAAACACAGGCATAGCATTCCCCCAAAAAAGCCATTCAATTCTGATGAAATTAATTTTTTTAGCTGAAATTCTAAGCTGCCTGTTTCTCACAGTTCCCCTTCAAGGCAGAAGTGTAATTAGAGCAGAATAATTTTATTTGAAGAAGCTTCTTTCTCCACCCAAAATTAGCTAAATTCTTTGCAGTTTTTCAGAAGAATAAGTTAAACTTTTTTTTTTTTCCCCCATCTTTAAAAGGATGCAGAAGATGTTAACACACAAGCAAAGCTATGTGTTAAGTTCGGTGAAATAATTTTGGGCCAATGAAAATATTTTGGCTTTCATTTTTGCTGAAAAACAGAAAAAACTTTTTGGCTCAGGGTGACCTGAACCAATTTTTTCTTCCTTGTGGCTTTGATGCTGACTCCAAAGACCATTACTTGCACAGTTGTACATGCAATATTTTCTTGAAAACTCATTAGCCAAGATGCAAACTCTATGAAACTCACTTTTATCATTGTCACATCCATAGAAGAAATCAGACTGCCCTTCTGATTTGTGAAAAAAAAAAAAAAAAAGAAAAAAAAATTTATGAAGATAATTTCTTGCAAGGTAGTATATGAGCGATTACTCATTTTTTTCTGCATTAGGAAGGAACAGCTGCATTTATTGAGATTTTATATTAAAACACCACAAGAAATGAAGTAAACCCTTAATATCCTGCAATTCCATTGTTACAAAATGCAGGGAAAACAACCTTGTGCAATCGATAGTAGGGGAGGGCTAGCCTAGAAGACCATAATCCTTGAAACTCTTGTTTCAGGAAGTAAAAACAGACTAGTAAGTCCCGCACTTCTCTTCGCACTAGAATTTCACCTAAAGTTTTGCCATTTGTCTCTTTTGGCAGAATTACTAGTTGGCTAATCTAGGTTGTAAATGTGGTGGAAACTGGCATAAGTCTGTTACCATCTGCTCTTGTATTCCTGTTTTATTAGCCTCATCATCTAGTGAGGTTTTACTGACTTCTTAATCCCTCTGGCCTCTGAAGAACCACAAATGTCAACCTTTGTTCAAAACAAACTTTCATTCAGTTACCCCTTGGCTCCAGCTGCACACCAGTAGTTGGGGACCAAGTTTGGCCAAAAGACTCACTCTCTTTTGACTTGAAACTGGGACTCCTCCAGGAATTCTTACTGAAACTTGGCATTTCCTAAGCATGGCTGTTACTTTCACCCACGTCTACTCCAGCTGGTAGCACGCAGCCATGTTACTGGAAAGTCTGGAAAACAGTAATGTATCTGGTATGGGCTCCTTGCCTGCAACTTGCAATTTTTAATTGCAAGGAATATAGTGCAACTAATTCAAGCTTCCTGAGAACTGAACTGCAGCTCTCAGGAGTGCAGATCAGCTCCAGAGTGCTAAAAATCTCTCTTTACAGAGCTGTATTTAACCTCTGTTTTAGGTGGGTTTCCCTCCAGGTGTGGTGAACATTGTGCCAGGCTACGGCCCCACAGCTGGAGCTGCTATTTCTACCCATCACAGTGTTGATAAAATTTCTTTTACTGGGTCAACTAAGGTAGGTGATGGATTTCTCATAAAACACCTCCTGTTCTTCTTTGCATTCTCTTCTAAAAGTGCCATCCACGTAAGACTGGACCAATGAAAGGTCGATGATATCTGTATTGCCAACACCGTTTTCCATCACATTCCATGTGACAGGATTTCTCAGAAGTGTTTGGGGTTTATCTAATTCAGGTCCTTGTGCTTGTGATAATCCTACATCTCTGTAAGCTGTGTTTTGCCAAACCGCCACATTTCTGTAAGAACCGTAATAGGTGCTCTGACGTAAGGTAAGATAGTCTAGAGGAGAGGCTGGCAGTGACTTAACATCATGTCATTGACCTGATGAAGCTTCTGGGCAAGTTTGCTTGCCAGTCCTGCCCTGCAAGCATGTGCAACTGGAAAACATGTCAGTCAGAGCCCTGAACAATTCTTCCTCAGCTTTAGTTACTTCTGAGGAACTAGGACTTAAATAAAAACATGGCCCCATGCCCGAGGCTTCCTCTGCTGACGTGGATGGGATTAACATTTGAACTTCTTTTGAGACCTGCACAGTAAAGCACCTTCTATTCAGTTTTTTCCTGTAAATAGCTACGGCTGCCTTGCTTGGGAGAGGGGTGGGATCGAGACCTCTGCACTATCAGACACCTATAGCCGACCTCTTCTGTACCTACACAGGGGAAAGGAGCACATGGCTTGGCCTAGTCCATGGAATTGAACACATCTGTGGCATGCCACAAATCTGTCTCCAGTAATCACTGCTGCAAATTCTCAATCAAAAGCTTGCTTAGAAATGTGAATGTTTTTCCACTCACTGCTCTAGATTTTTCTTGCAATATATATGCACCCCCTGAAGAGGGGCAGTGTCCAAAGAATGGAAATGCTGACACCAATGGGTGCAGCCAAGGCAAATATAGTCTCTTCTCTTTTATTTCCTTGAGTAACATTATTCTTGCTGAGCATTTGCCGAATTCATCCACTCTTATGTCTATCTTCACAATTGCAGAGTGTAATTTAATTGCTTAATGATGACAAATTACCTTGAATGGTATTCTTGGTCGGTAAAGGTAACTCACTAAACACTCAAAAGCTGCTGCATTTAACAACAGTACCATCTAGTGGCTTTGAGTACATGCTAACTGTTTTGCTTATCCCATAGGAGAAGGTGTGTTAAGCCTCTGTTTCTGTGTAGGGATCATGGGAACAAACACAACGCAATAAAGTAAAAGTTCACAATGAGCTTTTACTCTCTTGGTAGTTGGTCTAATCTAGGAGTTTACCCAGATACATGCTTCTCTCCAAATCCTAGATCAGAAACTTTTAGCCCAGATTAGACGCTGGCTGTGTGAAAACAATAGAGCTTATAGACTCATCCAGCCCACATGGGTCTGTTTGGGTTTTTAATGAAAAAGGAGTATCCAGTGGATTAGGGGCAGAAGGAAAAACTCAGCTGCTGGAGCCTGTAGGCAAAAAACTCTTATAGACGCTGTGCTTGTGTTCCTAATCCATGGGTGTGCAGGAAACACCGAGGGAGACAGATTCTTTGCTAATGCATGTAATTTAGAAGTGTTTTCTTCCCCCTCCACCCATCTGTGAGTTCAGCTGCATCTCTGCAGTATTTGCAGCATAATGCTACTGTTTCTGAGCCAGGAAATGAAGCTAATTCAAAATATATTTTGACTTAGTTTTTAAGCCCCAGCTTGGGCTCACTGCCAGCCTGGAAATACTGATCTTAAACTCCACGAGAATTTTCCCATCTAGATTTCTTGCTTTCCCTTAGTTTATTAACTTGCTCCTCTTCGGCCAGCTAGCTTGTAGTAATGCCTCTTGCAAAGCTATGTGTATCTGGAGCAGGATGCATCACTCATTTCCGCTGTCTCTAGGACTAGGCTGCTGAGTGACTAGAGATTATCTGCACTGCTAGGTTCAGGAGTCTTGCTCAAGGCAAACCATGAGAAATGCAGACCTATAACTGCCAGCCAGCTGCATGCTGCCCCATGCTTTCCTTGCTCACAGCTCCACGCCAGGGCAACAGTATTTTTAGGCAGAAATGAAGTTAAGATTGCCATGTGCAAAGGTAAAATACAAGAAAACCAGTTACAAAATGAGGAAATTCAAATATAAGGTCACACTTAAAAAAATAACCTGCCTTAACAATTGAAGCTCCCAAATAGTTTTAACTCATACTGTTTCTAATAAAATTAGATTACTAAATGATTCTGGTGCTTGATTTATTCTCTTCTTGTGAGGAATTCCATTTTTTAAAACAGAAAGAGAAATTGCTGTTTTGGTGTTACCAGTATAAAAAAGAAATAGCACAGTCAGTCAGAATTTGGGGAAAACACTTCATATGAAACAATTTTTCTGGGGGGGGAAAAAAACTTAGTTTGACATTGCGTGGATTAAATTCTGGAAGCAGAGTAAATCCTTCCCTTCAGGAGAGGGCCAGATAAATTCCACCAGATGGTCAGAGCAGGTTCCTGGGCGGCAAGTGCCACAGCAGAGCTAGACGGAGTATGTCTGTTGACATCCTCAGGTATTGCCTTGGAAGGAACATGTCTCAGCTACTCTTGTGTGTGGAGCAGCTCAGCCTAAACTGTCAGAAAGAAGTAGTTTTCTCCTAAATGTCAAAATCTCTACATGGCTCTCTGGTATGGGAGTGGTAACAGATAAGAACAGTGAGTTCTTATCATTGCCTTGGCAAGATCTACTCTAAGAAGTTGAATTCCCTATTTTTAAAAGTAAAACTCATAAACCTTGGAGCTCCATTGACTGCTGGTATTGCTCACTAGCTTGCACTGGGTGGGAAATGCCTTGTTTTGCAGCTCTGGGTAGCAGATAACTTCAGGTAGCTCTCTCACATAGCCCACTCTTTCAATCTGCCTAAAACAGACATTAATTCTGGGGCTGGTTTTGACCCAATACATCGCAGCAGTAGGAAACTCTACTAACGTTTAAGAATGTTATCCCTGACTTCTACCTGCTTCAGCCACCCACCAGTCTCTTCCACCCGTGTTAGCATCACGGTGAGTGATGCTTAACACGTGAGTTAAAACTTTCAGGGAAATCAGCTCATGTCCTCTTTGTGTCTCAATGCTACAGGTTGGAAAACTGATCAAGGAAGCTGCTTCTAAAAGCAACCTCAAAAGGGTGACATTAGAGCTTGGAGGGAAAAACCCCTGTATTGTGTGTGCAGATGCAGACTGTAAGTATTGGCTGCTGTGGTTTTTTGCTATAAGACACTATGAGTGTGGTGCTTTTGTGTGCCTCTGCTGTCCTTTGGCAGCTAGCAGGGCTGGTGTTTGCCACTGCATCCACCCCAAAGGCTGGAGGAAATCCCAATCCTAGAGCAGGATGCAGTTCTGCTTCGCTGGAGCTCTTGCCCAGCACAGGGACCATTCCCATGGCAAATGAGCAGACCATTATGCTGTTGCCTTCCCTGGGGATGGCTGCAGTTGCAGATAAATCTTGCATTTGTGCGTTTCTGCTGTTGTGGTGCCTTCTTTTTGGTTGACGATACTGCAGAGCCTAAGCCAAGCAGTGGGGAAAGCAGTTTTCTAAAATGCAGCCCCTCTGCAGGCATTCCTATGATAGGAGGGTTTTGTAGGACCTGATCTAATCCAGCCTTCATCTCTATCCTGGGGCTCTGCAGGACTAGTTTTGTATGGTTTGTTGTGACTTCGTTGCATTAGTGAGTAGCGCTAGGAGATACCTGTGACCACCAAAGTGGTTGGAAAATCCTATTTGGCTTGGGGAAAATACTCTCCACTCTCCTGCACAGCACAGCGGAGGTTGAAAACCAGAGGTATTTGTGCCATCTGCTAATAGTGAGCGTTGCAGGGACCTGGTCCGAGCTGGCTGTACAACAGAAGGGCACACTGCCTTCTAAACAATCACTACTGAAACTAGTCTTCAGGAACCAATGCACGGTATCTAGGAATCCACATATGAATTCCCACAGCAAGAAAAACTGGTTATTGCCCTCAGTGAGTCCTTGTGGAAGAAAGTATCAGGAGCTATGGCAAACTAGACCTTGAGACAAAAGGCAGGAAGGGGGGTGGAAATAATAAGAGATCTGGTTTGGGAGCAGTATGAGGCCTTGTGAGTGCCTTCAATGGGTGTGGACCATTGTCAGCATTTTTTAAGGAGGCTTTCAAAAGAGAAAGGGAAAAACAAGTCTGGAAACACTGGAAGGCTGAAACTGTGCATGTGGTAACGCTTTTCCCTCATGGGCCATGTTGCAGTGGACTTGGCAGTGGAATGTGCCCATCAAGGCGTGTTCTTCAATCAAGGGCAGTGCTGCACGGCTGCCTCGCGAGTGTTTGTGGAAGAGCAGATATATCCGGAGTTTGTGAAGCGCAGTGTGGAGTATGCCAAGAAGCGACTCGTTGGAGACCCCTTTGATGCCAGAACTGAACAAGGGCCCCAGGTAACTGTGTGCCTGAGAACAGTTGTTGTTTGGTTTTTGGTTGTGTTTTTGTTTAATTTTCCTTGTGTAAATATTATCCTTGCAAATATGGTCCCAGAAGAAGCACCGAGGGGTGAGTAATGTATCATGGCTTTATTTTTCTCTCTATTTTAAATACCAATTAATCACAACTGTTGAAATGTTATGTTGTAATTTTTTTAAACACAAATGTACTTAATTCACTTCTTATCCAGCTTTATGGAAGGGGCTGTCTCCCTGGTACAGTAATACAAAGCACGTTGCAGTAAGCAATAGCAATGCACAGAAGAGTGCAGCTGCAGAAATGGCCATTCAGCTACTTGGCTGTGTTGGTGATGACAAGTAGTTAGAGCCCAGGGACTCCTGAGTTCCCACTTTCCCTCTCCTCCTCTGCCCCCTTTCTGATCCTTTGGAGAGGTTTCAGCTGAATTAGGAGGAAGAACCATGCCAAGCTGCTGTCACAACCAGCCTTGTCAATGCTTCCAGAGCATTCCTCTTATTTTTTCGTTCCAAAGCAATCTGAGCTGTGGTGGAGAGCTCTGGAAGAAGATGATCCTTGGGTCAGATCGTCTAACAGGGCCACTGCTTGCTACCAAAAATAAAGGGGGAATCCCAGAAATCTATAGCCTAGACCTCCTGTTCTCAGTACTGCACTGTGAGTTTTTCTTCCTTGATGCTATACAGGATCCCTCAGAGAAGAGATAACTGGGTGGACATCTGACTCCCCTTATCTGGATCTAGGCCCATTTACACATGATCCATGCATGGCAAAACCTCATTGCATGTCCTCATGCATGGGGAATAAGATGATGTACAACCCCTGTTCATGCTGGGGCTGCGTCTATCCCTGTAACTTGCCTAGAAAGAGATTTCAAACTGCTCGGCAATCTTAGGAAAATAATTCCATGCTGGAACTTGCTTCAGCAGAGATGAGCTGACCCTCAAACTGTTTCAAGGTCTGCTCTTACCTTCTCTTAAGGGCTGTCAGCTTTTCAGGTTTGTTTGTTGTTTGTTTTTTGGTGGTTGTTTTTTTTTTTAATATAACATCATCCTAAACCTTATCCAGCAGAATCAGTAAGTGAGCTGCATTTATAGTTAGTCCTGTGAGGACCATGTTCACCTGGCCGCTCTGACAGAGACCATTGATTTAATGAGAACAGTCACTGAAATTATAGGGAGCAGTTGTGAGGTTTTAAAGGATGAAACACTTTGCAATGAGCAGAACACGTAGAATTGAGCTGCTTATTTCAGTTCATCTATGCTCCCAGCTCTTGCTAGGCTGTCAGAGCACTTCCCAGTGAGCACTATGGCAGAGCACCATGTTCTGGTATCACTGCTGTGGCTTAAGGGAGACTCTTTGCATACAGAGCTATAATTAAGGGTAACAGTAAGTTGGAATAGCAGCATCTGGTCAGATTTTAAATATGGCCCATTTTTTTTTTTTCCCTGTTCTGCCTTACCTATTACAGTTGTAGCTAGGAGAGATAGCACACCCCCCCCCACGCACCTGGACTTCTGTGCATGCAACTGTCAAGCCCAAGATGGGAAGGTGTGGAGAGAGTGGGAGGAAACTGTTAATCCCAAAGCTTTCATGTGGCTCCCAGTGCAAAGGAACAACCACTTCCTCTGCAGATATGGTTGCTTGCTGTCTGGAGCCTACGCTGTAAGATGCAACACACAGAAATTCAAGCAGAAGAGAGAAATGATGCAGTGTCACAAGGGCTTAAAATACCTCCAAAAGTAGCAAAGATTCACACCTGCCCACAAGTTACTGTTCAAATGTGAAGCTTCCAGATAAAGTTTTTCCTCTGTTCCTGAAGTAACCTGCTCTGCTGTGAGGGTTTTTTTATCTTGAACTGATGGATAAGGAAAGAATCACCAGGAAAAATAATCTTTCTTTCTCTTCTTCGTCTCTCTCCGTCGGGCCTCAGTTGCTTGAGATCCAGGTTATTGTTTTATTCTCCTGTGGGTCAGGTTGAACATACGCAACAGCATTACAAAAACGGTCCACATGCTGCTGTGTAGACCTCATTCTGGGATGATCACTGGCTTAGAAGCCAACAGCAGGAAGGAGTTGGAGCCAGCCCTTAGGCTGATGGTGGTCGTGGCCCATGATCTTTTCAGTCCTACATCAGCTCCCAGTGCTTGTAGCCAGACCACAGGACCAGCAACTTATACAGAGTTCAAAAAGCGTAAAATAGGAGAGCCTCTGCAGTCCAGACTTTGAGCTAGTGCTCTGTGAAATCAAGCCGCACTGTGGCTGAGCATAGTGCTCTAAGTAGCTGCTGAGACAACCTGGAGCAGGACAGCATGGGGTGACAGACAATTCCATGAGAACTTAAAGTTGATGTAAGCTAGTACTGGAAAAGTGGTTCTGTCTGTAGCTGCTTGTTCCTATATTGCACTGCACTTATGAATTAGATTGGGGAACTGGCTGGTTCAGGTCTAATCCAGCCTTTTTGGAAGTGAGGAAGAAAGGATTTACTCAAGTCAATTCCCTGATGTGGATTACTGTGCAGTGGCATGGATGCTTATGGCATGGGTGTGGGGAAAAGACTGTGTCAGCTGCAGTATTGGTTATGCTGATATAAACTGCACTGCTCTGATCAAAATTAGGTCAAATTTAAACAGTATTAAATTTAAACAGAAATGAGGCATGCTTCTGATGAGACTTCTCCAAAACTCACATGTGTCTGACTGTGTTGGCTGGCTGGAATTCAGAGGACACCACATGAAACCTGAGGGGTGATCAGAAACCTGAGGTGCCAACCTCAAATGCAGACCAAGGGCATTTTTCAACTTTGGATTCCTGTGAGCTGTATCATAGGAAGTAATAAAGTAAATCTGCACAGATGGCAAACTGGTTAACCAGTGCATTATACAATTTTGAACAGCAAACTGCATTAAATGAGACTAACGTCCTGGTGGACTAGAACAGGGATTAGATTAGAACAAGACTAGACTAGGCTTGTTACTGTAGAACCCCAAATGCTGGGATTTGTGGACCATAAGGCCTGGTCTACAGGAAAGAAATAAGCACTAAGGCTGCCTCGTGCCACTTGCTAGCCAGAAGTTTTTCAGCCCAAACCCTATTGTTTAATTTTTAAGACGGTGAATATTTTCCTTAGACTGTAGACGTTTATTTACTTTAGGATTAAAGCGTAAAAGTAAAATACGTAAGTAGAAAGAGTATGTGTCCAACAGTCAGTTGGACACAGTTGTGGGGCTATTCTGTAGGATTACAAATGCTAAGTTTGGAAAAGGAAAAACTGCTCCTTGCAGTCTTGAGTTAAATGAAGCAAGATACGAAGATTTGGGGGTTCTCAGATTTTCAGCATTGCAGTGATCCTTGGAAGCCTTCCTCTCTTTTGAATTAGATGGACAAATAGTAGAATTTGCTCTAGCAGATCATATGTTTTTAATAGAAGTCAATGCTTGAACCATAAATAATAGTGGAGTAGGGGACAGAATTTAAACAAGCCTTGCAAGCTCTAGTTACAATGACAAACAGTTCCACCCTTGCATGTCATTTTTACAAATGTTTTCTTTCCCCAGTGTCTTTTCATCTAACTATAGTTTGCCTTGCAACAAGTTACAGCTGTATAAATATCCTTGTTTTGTTTTCTGTGATGTGAAGTGGATGAACTGGATTGGTCTGGATCACAGACATGCCGGGATGGAAAGCACTTGCAGATATTTTCAAATTATTTACATTTGGCAACTAAGCAACCAGACAAATAGACAATATGTATGACACCTGCCAAACTTACTATGTGACACTCTGTATCCTACATGAGGGCACACATTTCCTTGTGCAGTAGCATGTATCAACTGTTTTCTTGGGTAGCATCTTAACACATGAGAGAACATGAGCACTTAGTACAAGCTGTCCACAGTGCATGTGATACACACATCTGTGTGGCAGGAGATGTGCTGTTCTCTGTTCTTGCTGTGTACCAGAAGTACCTCAAGGACACCCTCCTGAAGCTTTGATATTTGTCTAAAAGCATGAAAACTTGGGTTGCGTGTGGCCAGGATTAACTAGGGACAGGATATAGTCTGTAATCTGGAGGAGTTGAGTGTGGAACACTCCATGTAAACAGTCCCAACTGGCAACTGCCGCTGCTGAAATAAAAACAGCTGTCTACGGAGGGGTATTGAACCAGTACAAGCATCTGGAGAAACCTGGCATTCAGAATAACCTCCCAGGCTGCCAGGGCACCCTGAACCAGTGGGTGGAGTCTTTTATTTAATTACCTCAATTAATTTGTCAAGGTTTTTGTTAGTTTTACTTTTTTTAAACATCTCCATAAGTCTTTTACCATCTGCAGCGTTCTGTGATAAGGTGTTTCATCCCTTAATTATGTATCATGCGAATAGCCACATCTGTTTGTTTGAAACCTGGCAGTACCTGCAGAACACTGCTGCACGTGGAGCACAAAAGAAGGACCAGTACTGACCATGAATGCCGTGGGCTTCCGCACCTCTTCCCAGCACATGGCCCACTGTGCTACGTGATGTCTCCTCCAAGTCTTGGTGCAGGGCTGCACAGCTGTGTGACTTCAGTGTCCTGTAACTGGACTGGCCTTTCCTCACCTCCACTGAAACACCTAGTTTAAAGGCTAGTAACACAACAGTACTCGCTATTTGAGATTACTGCGTATTTAGGTGTGGGTGGGGAGGAGTTAGACAAGGTTGGTAGTTAAAAGTGAGGATATGGCTCCCAGTCCAGAGAACCAAAAAATGCTGGGATGGTACTAGACTCTAAGATCCACGAAAGATGATTCTGATTTTAGAAGTATGGCTTCAGTGTAGTAGTTGTTCTGAAGTCACCCCACTAACAGAGCTTATCTTTGAGGCTGTTTGTATAGCGTGTGTGTGGAAAGAGATGGAGGCAGAGCTCGCTGGGTTCTTCCAGCCGGGGACAGATAGCTGTGGGTGAAGCTTCACATTATAGCAAAGTCGACTTAATAGTTTATATACCCTGATTCTCCTTCCCTTGCACTGACTCTGTTGCTAGTCAGAGCCCTTGCTGAGCTGACTGAGGTTGCTAGCACAGCAAAACCCATCTCAGGCTGTTCTTATGGTGCTCCTGAGCTAAATCAGTGCATGGAGAAGGCCAGTAAGTCCCAGAGCTGGAGTGAGGTGAGCCGAGGGAGTGCATATCTAGGATGCAGAGGAAGGGACAGTGGGGAGACCCCCTCCATGTGGCAGCAAACTATTAGATCAGATTAAACTATCACATACAACTTCACCTTCTGTTTTCTGTAGCTTAGGGCTGTGCCCACGTTCTGTCTTTCAGCCTGCTATTGCCTGCCTGCTGTGTCATAGAATAAGATGTAAACTTCCCTGGTTTGACAGTACCCTGCAAATGTGCCCCTGGGCCACATACCATGACTCTGGTCTCTAGAACCAGGATAATAAAGGTGCTGCTGTCTGTTTCTTTTTCTTTTGTGTCTGACAGATTGACCAAAACCAGTTTGATAAAATCCTGGAGCTGATAGAAAGTGGGAAGAAAGAAGGGGCTAAGCTGGAGTGTGGGGGTCTTGCCATTGAAGACAGAGGTCTGTTTATAAAACCCACTGTGTTTTCAGAGGTCACTGACAACATGCGTATCGCCAAAGAGGAGGTACAGTATAAGTCACATGAACCTTTATATGCATTTACTACTGTAAATGGGAAAGAAAAGAGGTATGTTTGTAGTTTGAAGTGAAAACCTGAGAGGAGAATAGAAGTTTCACTTATTTCACTTATTTCAGTGTCCTAACAACTGCCTAATGCTGAAATCCATTCTACTAATGAAGTATCTACGAGGTGAGCTTCAATTTGGAGTGTATGTGCGTGCGGGGGGGAATTATGAGAGGAGAAGGGGGAGAGCAGAAAAGGCAAAAAAACTGTCAAATTGTTTTAGCAGCAATTTTTGTGCAATTAATAGGTGTCTGTTTGCCAGCCCTTTCTAATGCCTTGCTGCTTTCCCTCATTTTGTTTGGTTTTCCAAAAGGGAAGTAGCCCTGTGAGTGTACTCACTGGACAATAACAAACCCAGATAAAAACATAGTAGATAATACTACCCTAAAGCTTTTGGGTCTCATTTCAGGAGAACTTGATATAATGCAAAATAGAAGCACATGCCTTACCTAGATACAGCTGCTATAAATGCTGCTTCTGAATAAGAAATAGTGGTGATGGAAGGGTTTCTGTCTGAATTCTTGATTTTAAATATAAATAATTGAATAAAAATAACTGAAAGTGTGGTAGGCTGGAGCAATTCTACATATTCTTTGCCCTGAAGTTTGAAGGTTTTCTGAAGACAGAGTTAAGCTCTCCCACTCTACACAGAGGGATGGTTGTGCGTCCAGTGTGCTCTTATGCACCTCCTACTGAGTGGACTTGAAATTGCTCAGCTGTGGTACATGCTGATTCAGAGTGACAGAGGACAGTGTAATGTGTGTTCTTGCTCCACTACTTTGTAAAAAAGGAGTTGCTTTATTGCAGAAAGGTTGGACAAGAACTCTGGGACCTGAAGCTGGTGAGGAGGGAAGGAATGGCCCTGCTATACTGCCACTGAAGAACTTTTCTCAAGTAGCCTTAGCATCTGAAATAATCCCAGATTCCGTTCTCATGGTGAAATCCCCTGAGGCTGACCATTTTTTTCCTATATGAAAACATGGTTGAAGCCAGCAATATGCAGATCTAATACTCTGGCTTTCATTATTCATATGCAGAAAAATTGAACAAGCTGCATGTGATTAGATCCTGTGATATTCCTTTGAAATAGAAGTTAATCTACTTTTCATCATGTTCCCCAATGGAAAATAAGTATTTGCCAAAGTCTAACTGGCACTTGTATTTTATAGTTTAGCCTAGTGCTTTTTATGGGGCTGCTTACTGCTCACTCCTGGCAAAATGCTTAGATGTCGCAGATCTGTCACAGAATCTCTAAGGAACCTGGGAAAGATATCAGTCAGTCTGGGCATGAGTTATATTCTAAAAATAGAGGGAATAAGAGCTGAAAATCCCATGACAGGCCTTTTTTTAATGAACTGACTCCAAATCCCAAGTCATGATTCATGAAGCTTATCCACTTTCATTCATTTGCAGTTTTGTTGCAAATGCATGTTCATCGTTTGCCTAGGATGAAGGCTCCGGTTAAGTACCTGGATCTCCCAAAACGAAGAAATTTAGAAACACTTGTATGAGCCTAAAGGCCAGGCAAACTGCTTAGCCTGGCCCTCAAGGTGGCACAAGTGAGACTGTATCTCACCTTTGGAGGGGGTTTATTGTACTGCAGGACCATGCAGGCCAGAAAAGGGCCCCGCCTTTGATACTGTACTTGATGAGTACTCAGATACTCCCCCAGAAGCCTGCTACCTTTATACTGGTCACCTGGGAAGCCAAATTTGTGGTCAAACACATACGTGGTGAACGTACTGCATGAAATAAACTGCGTACAATGACAAAATCAGAGTTAAAACCAAGGAAGAAAACTTGCAATCCTGGAAATATATTAATTACTTCTTGAGTATACTCAACTTCTGAGTTCAAAAGAGAGTCGTAAACAGAGTAAGGATTAATCCTTTGAAACTTGGGCAGATCTAACTGCTTATTTTGATTGTTATAGATGATCTGTTAGTTGTTGGATCTTAGCATATATTAAATACTATAGCACATCACTGTACTTCCTTTGAAGTCAGTTTAATTAGTAGTTTTTAAGAGACTATCAGTGACTTCTAGAAGGCTAGGATATAACATTTTAAATATAGTATCCAAACAAAGCATCTGATTCTGATTACTTCAAAATTACCATGATTAGCAAAAGCTTTCCTGTACTAATGCTTAATTGATATGTGCAGATTTTTGGGCCAGTTCAGCCAATTATGAAGTTCAAGAGTATAGAAGAGGTCATAAGAAGAGCCAACAGTACCGAGTATGGACTTACAGCTGCAGTGTTCACAAAGAATCTGGACAGAGCATTAACGCTAGCTTCTGCATTGCAATCGGGAACTGTCTGGTAAGCAATGTGGGATCAGAGTGTGGGCTGGGATTTTGTTTCCTGGGAGGGGAGGGGGATGTATGATTTAGAATCATGTGTAAGTGCTGGAGGTAAGATGTATTAGTAGTTTGCTTAATTCTTGATATTCTGCTCAGAAGCAACATCCATTCATCAAAATAAGGTTGTGAGGACCAGACAGTCTGGTGAGAAATGGACTGTTTGTTCAACCGATGTAGTTCTTCTTCTGGAAGACTCTGAAAATATAGGGGGTTTAGTAAGTTCCAACAAACATGATGCCTTTCAAAATCCTGTATGTAGAAAAAAGCAATTCTTACGATCTTTCGGTAGCATCAGGTGGGGTCTTAGATGCACAAATCAGTATGGACAGTAGATGGCATCACTCCACCATCAGAAAGATAAGTAGCTATTTTTGCTTACAAAATTTCTTATTTTATATTAGAATGACTTTAAAGATGGAATCCTGATTGTTTTCCCACTCAAGATCGGAATTTGGTCTGATGTCTAATTTTGATGCATACAGAGGATTGATTTCAAGAGTTGACGCCAGAAGAATCTGCCTCTGAGTAATACATAAAAATGGGATGTTGGGCTTTGAAGGATACATGTGCAGTACATACATGAAGGTGCAGTCCTACAGCACCAAGCCATACCTGTCTCTCTTTAGTCATTTGATCTTACTGAGATGCTGAGGAAGTAGCTGCATTAGCTTTTTCTACCTAGTGTCTATAGAAATGGGGCTAGCGCTTTCATTTTACTGTGATACAATTGTCTTATGCAGTCCAACTTTTTCTATACCTGGAAGTAGGTGGAGGGGCTTGCTTGTGACTGTTTAGATAGCTTTCTGAGTAAACATGTTCATTTCAGAATGTCCTTCATTAAACTAGGGAATAGATTAGACTATTTTAAGCACGACTCTGAGCACAGCATAAATTCCAGCTCAAGCATGAATGTCTTAGCCATTACAGACTATGAAGTGAGATGTGGGTCAGACTGAGTACCACTCAAACGTTTTCCGTTTCTGTAGCAAAGTAAGATTTTATTGCTAAAATCTAATTTCTCAAGTGAATGAACTGTATAAAGAGAAAACTGACAGATTTCAGCCTTTTTTGTATTGTCGTCGTTGTCATCGTCGTGCTTCTCCTTGGTATTGAATTGTCTTTTTACAATTGATGTTTTTATTGTAGGATCAACTGTTACAATGCGCTCTATGCACAGGCTCCTTTTGGTGGCTTTAAAATGTCAGGCAATGGCAGAGAACTGTAAGTTTTGCTCAATATTTTTATTTATATGTGGATGGTGAATGCAATAACAATTGTGACTGTGAAAATACTGTTGAATTTGCTTTTAAACTGTCAGGCTTGCAGTATGCTGCGCAGGGAGGTGCTAAGCCAATACAGCGTGGATGTAAAGTACGGATGTGAGAACGTGAGCAGTGCCTTCAGGAGTACCTTCATCTGCTTTATAAGCTCTTAATAACTCCAGTTCAGTCAATTCCACTTGCAAGCATTTTTCCTTACCAGTTAGATTTTTAGATCAAGAGAGAAGTATGGCACCTTGGCTGCGGACGCTGGTATCCACTCTAAACCTCCTCCATCTTTATATGGTGGTATCTGGGCCTCCCTTGACTGCTATATCATTGCTCCTAGCTGGATCTCTTCTCACCTCTGACTTTCTAATGTTGGAGCTAGAACAACAAAGAATGATCTCCGAGATCACTCTACCTCCCACCTTCCAAGCTTGCTACTGTTACAGAAGGACCCTGTCCCTTTTCCCCAGCCTGACCTTTTGCAGCATGGCTACCAGACATTCCAGCTCCACTAACGCAGCAAGTTTTAAACCGAGGTCACCCTTTAAGTTAGAGTTAGAGCTGAGAAATTGACTTAAATCTTAATTTTCTTCTTGTATAGGAGAGAGGCAGGTTTTATTACACCGTTCAGAAGACTCTTCAGAGGAATCTACTGCACCTTTTCTTTCATAAGCCAGATGTATTTCCAGGAACCATTTCCAGTAGCTGTTCTGGTACATCTGCTGCTCTGAGACATTCAGATGCCTCACTTGCTAAGCACAGCAAATGAATGAATCCTCAAACGGGACATATATATTGAGACCTTACGGTTTAGTTTGCCTGACTGCCTGGCTAATTAAAGGATGTCAGGGGTTTATCCCTTGGGCGTGCCGTGGGAATAGAGCCAGTCTCCAGCAACTAAGACATAATGCAGTGGTGGGATCTGTCATCAGCATGCATTTCTGGAGCAACTGTGCCCTCTTGATCATATGATATCTTATAGATAGAAGCTTACTTTCAGTGAAAAAGTAACTTTAATAGCTGTCTAAGCACTGATAACTATGTTTATGTGGATGTTTCTTCTATAGGTTCTCACAATAGTACTCGGTTTTCACGAGGCAGAGGGTCACAAGGTGTCATCTTGGGGGTTACTGTGACCAGAAGCATTCCATGTTTCTTTTACAACAGGGTGTAGTTGTGTGTACTTATGTGCATGTACTTAATGATTATTAGAAGTGGTGGGCCAAATTGATAGCTGGTGTAAGTTAGTTTAGATCTGGTTTTAATGGCCTGATGTCATCTACAGCAGCTGTCAATCAGAGGCTAAAATGCACTTACGTAGAAATCTCTTATCCTCTTATACTTGGGGAAGTACACATTAACATGCTACAATTGTTTGTCCCTTTCCCTCCTCTCTCTTCTTTTCCAGCGGTGAATATGCTTTGGCAGAATATACCGAAGTGAAAACAGTCACCATTAAACTCTCCCAGAAGAGTCCATGAAAACAGAAGGCCTAAAATGCTGACACTCTGAATGTGACACATGGGGGACGTGTTCAGAGCAAGGGGGAGGGGAGGGGTAGGAAGGAAAATGGAAACACCTAACTTTATTCCTCTGGAAACACTGAATCTACTGGACTCCATTTTGTCAACTGGCTCTTCGAAAACTGATTTAACTGACCCTACTGGCAGCATAGCGTAGACTTGTACTGTACAAGTCCCTGGCTGTACATCTGTCTGCCACCTGCAGCTAAGATGCTGGTCAGTCACTGTGTTTGCAGGACATCTGCTTTCAAACTGTACTCTTGAAGGACTTGGTCATCAATGGCATGTTAGAAAGACTTCTGGTACCATTAGCATGGACTGTTAAACACCTTCAGAGGCATATGGGTTTCACTTGGCATAAATGGACTTGAGTGGTAGGGCTAATACAACTTTGACTGACGTTGGCGGAGTTTGTGTGAAGACTGCAGCTGGAGTTTGGGATGGGAGTGCAAGCTTTCATGGAAGGATCTGTAAAGAAATTCTCTTTGAAAGAGCTATCTTGGTCTCTCTAAAGATATGTGCATTCTCCATATTGGTGATATTCTAGCCCTGAATGAGATTTATGGGAGTTTCCTAGAAGACTCCTTTGGGGCCAGTATTTCACCCAACAGAGCTAGACTTTAAAGTGTTCTTTGAACCTGGTGTTTTGGTGTGCACACATTACACATGCTGCAAATGCAAGTTACTGACTTGCTAACCCTTCTGACTCTGAATGAGTCACAATTGTATCTCAAACCTTCACTATAGCACTTTTCGCAAGAGGATTTTGCACTGTACTTACCGTGATGACACAGAGTTGAATGCTAAGCATGTAGCATGGTAGATACCCCACAGAAAACATCCCACGCCAGTCCTTCTGTTCCGGGGGAGGGAGCAGAAGAGCTGCAAGAAGCTGTCCTGCTCTCTCTTTCTCTGTAACTTTCAGGCTGTGTGAACATCTCTTCATTTTTTGAGCCAGAGCTATTATTATGAGAGTAAAACTTATAAGCTCTTCTCACTGCTTCTTTATCCCGTATGAATGTAGCTTAAAATAAATTTCTGGAAGTACAGTATGAAAAGGCAGGTGCTCCCAAGCACAGAGTGCTAAAGATGTGGGTGTACAAACCATGGAATAAGCTATGGCTGGACTTAAATGTGTCAGCAGCTTTGCAGTAATTGCCCCCATGAGTGGTGTCATCTTGTGGCAAGCACAGAGTAGCTGATCCTTCACTGAGGAATAAACTGCCCTGAATTGTCTCTTGCTTACAGTGGTATAAGCATGCACATACATGAATGGCATCCATGGAGTGGCTGTCACACCGAGTTCATGCCTTAGTATCTCCTGCAGCAACTTCTTTGCATGCCCAGATATTACTATGAGATTAATGACAAGCCACCTGCTGTCTTCAGTTCCTGGGTTCACTACTTTCCCTCCTCTTCCTCCTCCTGATTCTGTACTGGAGAACCACTGGCAAACGTACGGGAAGTTCCATGTCTGCAGCAGCTGTAAGTATGCAGGAATCAGTGGTGTCAGCTTGTTAGGAAGTTTACCTGATCTTGCTGGCATTGTCCTCTGAAAGCAAACCGATAGAGATTCTTTGTGGCATATTGACACATCTCCATAGAGCACTACTAAAGATTGCTGCCTGGAGTTTTCAAGATGTCAGGGCTCAAAGCAGAAATGCAGGTCTAACCTCTATTCTCTAATGCAAGCAAGGATGTAACCGGTACCTTCCTTTGCTCAGAGATACACCCAGTCAGTAACAAGTTCTGTTGCGTGAGTGGACCTTTTTTTGGAGGAGGAAGGAAGGTGGGTGGTGATAAGTAAGGAAAAAGTTTGCATGAGCCTGAACTTCCTTATTAGTTAGTGAATGTTGAAATTGCACTTCAACACTGCTTAACTTCTTAAATGACATACCTCCAACAGTTGTTTATAACTAGGTGCCTGTCCTCCCATGGATATGTGAGACAGGAAAATCTCCCCATCCAGTGAAGAAAATGTCCTCCCTTCCCCATGAAAGGCCAAATGGGAACATTGTAAATAAGTTTCTATTTTTGTAAAACACTTAGAGTGCAAACATCTTCTCAGACAAACATTTTACTTTTGCCTACTTGATGGTTTTCTAGGGCTGCAGTCAGACAGTAGGGAGGTAAGGCAAACTGTAAAAGGCTGGTTATCTTGATGTATCTCTCTATTAATTTTTTATAAACAGTGGTTGAAACTGAAATCATCTGAAATTCTTAAAATCCTAGTATTCTGGCATTATATGTATGATATATATTTCACCTCTCTTTTTTTCCCTTATCAAGTTTTTACAAAGTCAATATATCTCTTATTGTATAAATCAGGGTTTGACTTTACACACTGAATTTTCTAAGTTATATAACACTAGACACTAACTTTAAAATAACCCCTTAGAGGGTATATATTCTTTCATTGCACAGTAAGGCTTTCATATGAAATACTACTTTTTTTTTTTTTTTAAAAAAGAACTATATTTATAAATTAGGATACAGTTAATCTAATGTATTTTTATAGCTAAAGGTACATGAAAATGCTATGTTTAAACCTCATGTATATATTTAGACTATGGGTATCTTTTTGTAATAGTTCTTGTTCCTAATAAATGTTTAACTTTGTGAAATGGTTTCTAAATACTACATATTGATACTGCTCAGAAAGGAAGGTGAGGGAGCAGGAAACTTCTATTGACTTTACTCATTTTAACAGAGGAGTAACTTGAATGCTTTTTTCTTTACACTGATCAGTGCTGTAAGATAATTCCAACCCCTCTAATGCACGTGTTGAGACCCCTTCCATCAGCAAGCAACTTCCACTCAACTCAATCCTCCTGTCACTGTTTTTTATTTCACTCTGAATTTGGCCCATTGAATCAATAAAAGTAAACACTGGAAAGGGTTACGGTTTCATGCTTCTAAAACAAAATGGCCCTGTACTGCTCTAGTTACAGGGGGCTCTTCCTTGAACAGCGTTGTGTCTGTTCCCCTTGATTCAGTGACCCAGCAGTAGTCCCCAAGCGGAAACGTGTACTGGGCTCACAAGAGACAACATAATTTTGAAGTACCTTTTCCATGTGGCAGAACTGAACACAGAGTGCGTGTTTCCATGTGTGTCTCGGGATTCAGTATCTCACGGGGGGACTACGAAGGAATCTGAACTTGGATTCACTTCTGCAATTTGTGAAGAATAGCCTATTTTTAAAAAGTAAAGTGCCGAAGTGTGGTCAATGCTCTACATATAAAAGCTGGAGCGTGTGTCTGTTAGCTTACCTTTTAAGCGGTCACTTTTATAAGTTGTGCCATTTACAGTAAGTGGAAGGGGAAGGAGAGCAGAGCTGCAGCTGGCAGGGGCAAGCACAGCTTCTTCCAGTTCAAAGTAGGATGGATCCTTTTTGCCTTCTGAGGTGAGCCTCAAAATGGAGAATTTTAACTCTCTTCCCATCTGATACACGTGTGAGAAATACCTGTCATCTCCCCACACAGGCCAAGCCAAACTCCTTGAATTTTCCACTTGCTAACAGCATCACTCAGAAGCTTAGAAAAGGAGAAGGCTGGAGATACAAAGGAATTACTGTGGGTGACATAATCAATGGAGACATAAGCCAGGAAAAGTGGGATGAGACTGGGGCAGAAAAAGAAGAAAAAAAAAAATTTAGCTTGAATGTGTGGAGAAATTCTTGCTGGGGGAAGTCTCTATCAAAATAAAGGAAAAAAGTTATTTTAGTGGGTTTTCAAACAATTGTGCTAAAAAAGGTGTAAGAAGGGTCTGGGTAAGAGCCAGGTTGTGAGGCGTGAAAGACAGCAGGCTGGGTAGGAGGTGGAAAGGGTGCTAAAAACAGGTAACACTACTATGGCTGCAGCTAAAAGCAGATTAACGGGGACCTAAACACAGGAAAAAGCACCAGTGAAGACCCATCCTCTCTATGTCTCCAAATCACATCAAAGAAACACCGTAGGCAAATCTCGGACTGCAGCAGCCATTCAGTGAATGGATATGGCTTTTTCCATCCTCAAGTGATCATCAGAGACCCATTTCTTGGTACAGACCTGGGAAGAAAAAAACCCTCTGTATGTACTTTACAGAATCATTATGAATAACAAAGCAAAAGGCATGCAGAAATGGTCTTTTCTTAGTCCAATGCGTGGGGAAAATAAAGCAGTATCAGGCGTGTTAGAGGTTCCTGGTACCTGGAGACAAACGTGTTTGTGATGGGGAAAAGACGTGCACAATACCAGCACGCCAGCGGGAGCGCAGCACGTCTAACACCTTCGGAAGAACGGGGGCAATCTCGCTTTGCTTTTCCAACGAAGAGCAAACTCACGCCGCGATCTGGGGAAGGAGCAACTTTCAAAGAAAGAAATCTCGGATCAACTCCGTTATCGGTAAGGCCAGGCCTCTGTCGAGAAGCGACGCTGAGAGGAGATGGGTAGCGGTGCTAGGTAGGTCAGCGCCTGGTGCCCGTGCCTGGGGAGCTCCATGGCAGCTGGGTGTGAGGGCGAGGCCATCCAGACAACCTGCTGCAGCTGAGAGAGAGGGTCCTGGTTCAGCCCCCGCAACTCCCACAGCCTGTTTTTTCCTAAAAAAAACAAACAAACCCAAAGCCAAAGAGCTAAAGCCCCCGTAGGGACTGCCCAGACTCACTGGTGGATGAGTGTGTCCCGGCTGGTGAAGGAGCCCAGCAGAGGGGCTGCCCTGTGCTCTTCCTCACGCTCTCCCTCCATGCCCCCCTCAGCAGGATGGGCTCCGCGCCCGGGGCACGGTGGCGGGCAGCGGGAGAGGTCTGCCCTCGGGAGGAAGGCGAGGGGTCGTGCGAGGCCTCCGGCCCGCGGCCTGTCGCCCTCAGCCGCC